AAGCAGTGTTATTGATTGCTTACTGAAACAGAAGCAAAAATTCACCAAATTGAACTGTGCAATCGAACTACAATCGATTACACCCTGTGAAAAACAATTTTACGAATTTTGGAAGTAGCGGTAAGAAAACTCTTTTGTCTCAATTCCAAAAACACAAACTTAATGAAATAATTCACAATCAAACATCCAATTATAATTACTATCAACATACATCAACTACCACGCAATTCAAAGCATCAATTCATCGATTATAGTCAATTTCAACAAATTAAATCAAACAACCTACACCCAAAACCTAACATGCATATCATTACATCCCTACCATTATACCACCGATTAGAGAGTCAGAACCACACTCTTACCTTAGGTTGTAGATTTCCAAACTTCTACCGTGAATTCTTCCTTTTCCGAACGATTTCCTCTTCTTCTCTCTTCCCTGCTCTTCCTCTTTCTCGCTTTTGCTCTCTCTCGTTTCTACGATCGATCAAAATAATAATACTCTTTTATTCCTCTTGTGACAATTTAACCCCTGGGACCCTTAAATCTATATTTCAACTTTTCCCTTCTTAATTAAATAATTATTTTATTAAAAACAAAATACAATTATCATCATAATCGTAATTATTTATAATAATAATAATAATAATAATAATAATAATAAAATATTCTCAATGCACCCTCGTTACTACGAAATTAGCTATACACCTCTCAACCTTAACTATTTAAAGATTCTAAGATATTCACCTCACACCAAGGCACAACGTTATATCCCATTGCTCATCAAAATACACAAAAACACTGCATCGTATAATTATTTTAATTAAAATAGTTTATATAAAAAACGGGGTGTTACTCTACCTAATTTGTTTTACTAATATTAATGTCAATCATAAAATAGAGAATTAACAATCTCTCCCTTTGGAAAATTTTGTCTAAAACAAATAAACAAATTACAATCCTGATTTAAGCAACAACAGATTTGAAGAAAATAGAAAAACAGAAATCTAGCAGTGATCACACACTCATCAAATATATCTCTCATCTTGGGACATTAGAAGCTGAAATAAATTTCAGAGAGTTAATCTTCAAAAGCTAATAAACACATCAACATAGAGAAATAATATTCTTAGTCTGCATGATGTCAGGACATCATATTCGACATCTCTTCACAGTAGTCCAAACAACTCCATTACAACACATCAAACTCAACACTATAATACAACAAACTCAGGATGAAAGAAGGAGAAAGTCCTGGAGTCATTTGGTGTACATGAGGAAGAAGATAGTTGATACTCCCCCTTAACCCAAGAACCTTTACTTGCAACGAAGGGAAAAATCTTTCTCTCAGGGGTTATAAAAGAACCCTTAAGAAGAAACCAACCACCAACCTGCACTATCCATATAAGGACTCAGGAGTGCATATTCTAGCTCTGGGTAACTCAGAACACAAGACACAACTGTGTTCATAACTCAGATCACAAGACACAAAAACAACAAAGAGCAGATTCGGATACGAGTATCCTACCCAACACCCTTGCAAAACAAACACGAACGAACTCCGAACAAGAAGAACAAGAGGAACATAAACAAAAAACAATGCCTTTCTCCCCTTTTTTAACCAAAAATTGACAAACAAAGCCACCACAAAACCATACATAACAGTACTCACTCATACCCGAACAAAAGCCACAAGGACTATTTTAAAGATAACATAACACAATATGATAGAGTGAAATGGATGACCTCTTTAAATAACCGAGCAGTTACTTAGGAATTAACGATCATCGACTGTGAAAAATGTCTTGGTCAGAGAGAGTGTTATTTGAGGAAGATAACTACACCAAAAAAAAGTGCACAGTCCAAGTCAGTTTTTAATGTCTTTATTGACTCTGGACTGATTCTCCTACGTATTCATAGTCAAAAACATGTCTTAAACTCCTTCCTGACATGTACTTGATTACACCGTCCAAAATACTCCTTTGTTAGTCTCAAAAGAAACAAGTCATGAGCAATGTCCTGACATCCAGTCAGACATTGTCTGTTTTCCCCTGTCTTCTCAAAACAAATCAAAACTTCTTCAACCATCAGTAAAAAAAGTTTCATAAAATTATCCGCATGTTTTGAAGCATAATCACAATGTCTTCCACTGGACTCTAAATAAACTTCTTTTAGTCAGAATTAGTGAAACATACTAAGATATCAGGACATCATGTGTGACATCTACCATTCATGAACCAAGACATTCATTGAATCCCACCTAAGTCCGTAGAGAAAAATAAATCCTCTCATTCAAGAACATTGTCTCTTAGAGTATTCCTGAGAGGCATGTGTGCACATGATTCAATCAATCAGATTCACATGGCTAGAACCATCCATACCCTATCAAGAGCACAGAGAACTACATCTAGTAGCCTTATGTCCTGACATATTGTCTGGCATCATAACCTCACAAGAGATATATAATCTCCACAAGCTTGAACAACATACAAGCTTCATACGATCTTCACTATTGCAGCAACGATCCATAGTCAAATACTTAACTCCCCTATCATGGATAAATCGTGCTCCTACTGAAGATTAACACTTGAGCACCGGATGAAATCACATGAAGTACTTCACATTATCATAGTAGAGGGTGACAACTTCACACACTTGCTGGCCACATTCACACATTGTAATCCTGATCCAGATATTCTAGATTCTTGAGAGCACATCCAAGCACCACGACTTAGTCATTTAACAAGGACACATATGATAAATGACCTTACAGATTCACACACATTGTCATGACTCTTTGGATGACTAAGATGTCACACACAATGGGTTTGAAATTACTCATAAACCAAAATATCTCAGTTTGATTGCTTCACAAGATCCAGACTGACACACACAAATCAGATCACTATCTCTGATACTCTTCTCTTGCACCCACTAGCAATTGTTGATACAAGTGAACATGATAGTAGTCATGTATTTACCATACACACTATTGTAGATATGTTCAGAAGCTATACATACTACTTCAACATAGTTGGAAAAGCCACTTATGAAACTAGCATTGAGCATCAAGATTCACATTCACAATCCCAAGCATCTCCCAAAACCAACAATCACCAAGCATGATGTTACAACATCATTTAGGAGATCAGGCTCTCTTCACAGAAACCATTCACTTTGGTTCTTGGTCTATCATCCATAGAACTTTTTATGCTTAAAAGTCATTCTTTCAAGTAGTGCAAGAGGATATCAATAGAACACGGTCTCTGCAGCTTATTGAGGGTATCAAAAACACTAGAAAATCATGGAGAGAAATAAACTCTCATACACTTTCGGCAGCATAATGTTCTGACTGCACTTCTGCATCAATACATTAGACAAATACACTGCTTCATTCTTTAGGTATGTAAGATGTCAAGCACAAGGTATTTGACACCAGCCACATGCACAACCACATGAGAGGAACATTTACTTACATTCCTTCATTCGCAGTTTCCCTTAGGGGTACAATTAGCAAATAGGGCTACCTCCTCACAAATGGTAGACCATTAGGTCTAACATCTTTCTTCTATAATCCACTAACACACGTGTGTTGTACCCCAAAATTTTCTCTCTTAATATTAACTCTAATTGGTTTATGTTTTATCATCATGTGCATACATACATATCATTGTTACTATGGTCACAGGATCAAAGTATTTATCTCGTGAGAATTATGGAAGACTATTGTTCCGTCAGTTGATACAGTGAAGCAAAACACATGGTTTTAAAGTATTGACTGCACGATATTTTGAGTGGCTCTTTCGACATCAAGACCTTCTCAATGTCTTCTTCATTTCACACATTTGGGTTGAAGGCTGATTCGTTGAAGAAGAGATCTGAATTGCAAATTTCTTGAGGTATGAGTGTGAAGCGGATTTGCTGGTCCGTTGTCCATTAAACATTCAAAAATTCATATCTTTTAACCGGTTCGACATTTTTGAATGGCTCTTTAGACATTGTGCATCTATGTGTATTATTGAAGAGTTATCTTTAACCGATTTAAGACATCTTATTGCTTGGGCTATAAGATAAACACATCTAACCATCACATAGGGTTTATGTGTGGTTCAGAGGTTTCTTTAATAAATTATGGCTTATGATGCAAGACATTATGAATTTTAAAAATTCAAGGATGTAATTGAATTTCGATCATTGCGGAATAGTGAAAGGTACATGACTTGATTCAAACACCATGGCATTGATTCAAAGTTTATAAAGGCCATTATTCAAGATTCATCATCAGAAAGGTATACTGCAATATACAAGCTTGATATGCAAGGTTCATTCTTCCACCATCATGAAGACAAGTGTGTTCAAGTGTTATACAACTTTATGCGTGAGCAAGCTCAAGGATTCAAGAGGAACATTCAATTTCAAATGTAAAGTTCAAACAAGATTCGCCATTACAAAACCTTTTTATTTTGTCAAAATCCATTTACATCGTGTTCATTACAAGTTACAAAATGACATTTACTATTCCAATTTACATCACATTTACATCAAGAATTTGCAAAGAAACAACTGTGAAAAACTTAATCCTAAACTCTTTTTCCTTCATGATCCAAAGCCTTAAGTGTAAATTAATTTTTACACTGTCAACCACCGACGATCATGTATCAGGACAAGTCAGGCTGAAAATTTTAAAAAATTTATATATGGCAGAATGATATAACCTTAATTGGATGACAGTGTAAAAAAAATTTACACTGTCAATGCATGATCATTAAACCCAAATATTAATATTATTAAATCAATGGTGAAAAATACAACTTCACCCTCATGGGCAAAAATCAACTTGTTTAGGCTAAATGCCACCTTAAAAACCATGCATTTTGGCATAATCCCAAATTTTAAATTCTTTAGTTAACATGGGGACATCATATCTTCCTCGTCGTAGCAATTTCGCATTCATCAAATTGAGATTTGTCATGAGATTTACACTAGCAAAGACTTTATCCGGTCTACTTCCTTTTGAAGCCTGGAAGTATGTTTGTAGAATCTAACTTCTCAAATTCGGCAATGCAATCTTTCATCCTTTTCAAAACTATTGGTGCGGCAGAGAAATTCCTTGAGATCTTTTCTTTAAGTAACTTTAGTTTCTCAGCAGTCTCTGGATCTTCCTCGCTGGATATGTTTTCCTCCAAAGCACCTGCACAGTGTACAGTTCAAATTAGGTCAACATGTCAAACACATTACAGGAAGAAAAAAAAAACACGAAATATATCACACCTAGAAAGAGTTGAATAAATGTGTAACAAATACAAAACAAGTCCTAAGTCCTAACTACCAAATGGCACAAGGATCATTTCTTTCATATACGAATTCAGTGAATCACAGTAATAATAATAATAACATACAATATATATGCATATAGAAAAACAATTGCAAGAAAGTTTGAACCATCACTATAGTCAGCAGAAACAAATGAAGCCTAGACGCTAGTGTTAGTTTGCAATAGAGAAGAGTTCTAAATTGTACCTCAATGTTACTCAAAACTTGTATGGAAAAAGTTTTGAAGTCAGGCAGACAGGCAGGTTAGAAATATTACTTCCGAAAAAACAAAGGGCAGGAACACATTACTTAGGCATACTAGCAGTTGCTGACAAAATATGAAGAGTAACATTCAAACAGAAGATTAAAATGATGACCAACATAACATTCAAACTATAATTGTGAAGCCAGTATCTTAAAGTAATCATGTTCAGTTCAAAACAAATTGTAGCATCCTCTGTACATAAGCAGGTGCAGAGGTTCATAGACCATGCCACTGCAATCCTTACATAACTAAAAAACTTAGCCTTGCCAATACCAACACAAAGATCACCAAGACCAGCAAAATATTTAAAGGTCGCGCATGAAACCCAAAACAACCAACAACAATCAAGTCTTATCCCAATAAGTTGGATCGGCTATCAATAAACCCTAAACAAGCACACACCAGTAAAGTACATTGGGCACATCACCGACACTCACATGTCGACATCGGTAATAATTTTAAAAAAATTGAATAAGTTGAACATAATCAATCACAAATGTCGGTGCTAGACACCAAACCAAATTTAACAAATCGGAGCAAGACAATATTCTTAGTTAAAAAGCAACGAAAAATAAAACCCTAGAAAATAGAAAGGGGGAAGTGTAGTGTGTACCTGGATTGATTTGAGGAAGAAATGGTCTTTGATTATCCAGAACCGAAACGAGCGTGGATTTGAGCTGATCCGGAAGAGTTTCTCGGCAATCTTGAACCTTGTGCGCAATTTTCTTCAATTCATTCTCTAACTTCTCCAACTCGGAATCCGAATCTTCATCTTCGGAGCTTCGAACTGCTTCACGGGTTTTCGAAATTTCCGGCGCCATTTTGGAATTCTAATGCTCTGCGCTTTCTGTGTTCACATTGTGTAAACTAAAGAACGAATTTGAAATTAAGTTAAATTTGATAAAATACTTCGTAAATTTATTCTTTTTGAAAATTCTCCAAAAAATTTATATCCTCCAAACAATAGAATTTTAAAAATTGAATTATTTTCTAAAATTACATTACCTTAAAAAATTATCTAATTTAAACATATTCTAAAATTATATTTTTAGTTTAAAACAAAATGGATGGTGCAATGATGATTTAAAATATTTTTATGATTTTACCATTAAATTATTAGTTTAAATATTTAGAGTTAATAATATTTTTGTCTTCTGTTATATAGGTGGTTTTTTTTTTTTTTTATTTGTAATTTTTTTTTTTGTAAAACCAACATTGTTATTTGAAGATTCTATTGTTTTAGATCCTGAAAATCTAACTAGACAAAAAGGATTATGTGTTACGCTGACTGGGTATTTTATTTATTTTTTTAATTTTAATTTAATGGACGTGGCTTTATTATTTTTATTTTCAAGTTTAAAGATTCTCAAGGTGAAACCTTCGGAACTTTTATCTTGTGTGATATTATTGTTATGGTTTACAATAATCATGTTGTCATTGATGTAATATATACTTTTAATAATGGTGATGATTCTTGCCTTAAGAATGTGATTCATGTTATTATGAATGTTGAGGTTCTCACCTCTTAAATTAGTTACGATAACCCCATGCATAACGTGACCACTCGCTTTGAATCTCACGAGATTGGTTATAATATTAATGTCTCTAAAGATGGTAATGAAGTTATCAACCAGAATGTGTCAGACAACTAGTATGACATGTTAGTGATTGAGTTTCCAACTCAGGGGAAGGATGAGCAAGTTTCCTTGTTAATTATGAAGTGAATGATGTTGTGAATAAAAAATTCCACATAAAAGAAAAAGAAGACTTCTCCTAACATTGCAGAGCATGATGTTCAGAAACGAGTCACACATATATTGCACGACATTATTGACAATGTGAAGATTAATGAGCATGATGTTATAAATGTTAAAATGTCTATTGTAGGAAAGAAGCTTCTCGAGAACTCTCCATCTATTCCTTTTCATTCTGGTGAAAGTACAATCAGATGAGATTTGCTTACAATAGGAGAATGACTCTTGATAAACTCTATGTTGAAGCATTGAAGTATAGTGAAATTATAAAGTGTCTTAGTGATGTTTAATCTTTGAAGACAATGTTGAATGTTGGATATTATTATCCTAAGTTGGTGAAGGAATTTTTGGTTAAGCTTCATATTGGTTTCATCTCTTGTTGTGGTGTAAAGAATGATGGTATTAGTCTTGGGTTTCTGAATTTTAGTTGCATGTTGTTTCTTGGGAAAGATGTCATTGACATTAGTATTCCAAATATTCCTATTATTGATGAATTTGGCTTTGATAATATGCTAAGTCTTCAATTAGAAGCAATCTTCTATTGCATCGCTGGTTTTCTATACCAAGTAAGAACTCATGCTTCCTCGAAATGTGAAGAATGATGTTCTTGTCAATTTGTTAAACATGATGAGTCTTGTGAAATCTATCCACCTATTGGTGTTCCCTCTTTAATTTGTGGCACTTTGAGTGTTCAAAAGAAAGACATTGTGACTTGTGTTGATGAGATTCGTATTGCCCCAAGTGTTTTGACTTTGAGTTATATACTGAATGTTGAGAAAGATGTTGATGACATTGTGATACACATATTTTCACTTGTTGATGAAACTGGTATAATTTTTTATGAATTAATTTTTATGGGCCTATGAGAAGTCACATTCTCAAAAGTTTTTATTCATGAGATACATAGTATTGTAAAAAAAAAGATTATTGTGTCCATTTGAGGAAAATAGGGGGATGGTGATATGATGATATGAAAGAAAGACTATTGCTTCCAACTGGTGTTCGTAAGGAGTTGTGTGTTGATGTAATTTGTAAGTCCATGCTTATGGTTGTGATGTGTCTAACATGTAGTTATTTTTGTTGTACTCTGATAATCTAATCAAGAAGAATGTCTAGAAGAGTGTGTGTAATATCATGTCTGTTTGCATGATCTACTGCTTACTTGTTATGTTCTAGCTCTCTTTAGATTTTATAAGCTCCTACTACTTTTTAAAAGGTGGTCATTTGTCCTATGTCTCGTTTGAGGAAAATAGGGGGAGAAAAAGAAAAGGGCACACTTCATTGATAATGTTTTTCATAATCCTTGTCTCTTGTGCACTAGCTATGGTGCAATCTTGAAGAAGTGTTTTTTCTGTGTTTTACCTAAAAAAAATAGCCAAAGGGATAAATTGTTGTTCCTTTGATTGGCTTATTTTTATAGACATAATGGAAAATAATATATCTCGAAAGTTGTGGAGCACATCTTGACTCATTTGGTTATGTGTTTAATTTTATAGGTTATTTTAAGATCTTATTCAAGTTTGTTCAGTGTTCAAGTTTGTTTAAGTCCAATGATCTACTAAATTTTTTTGACATAAATATTTGGTTATAAGAAAGTTGTTGAAAAAGATGTCTGGAACATGTTGTGTGACATCTTAGTGCACGAAGTTCTCATACTGCATTAAATGATCACTTCAACATTTGGTTAGAAAATATGTAATAATTATGGTATGATGAGAATTTACTTTTGGAAAAAGTTTTGAAAAATATTTAATTAAATCAAAATCTATAAAGTTTGAAGAAGATTTAATTGAATGCTGTTTAATTAAAAAGATTTGGATTTGCTTTAAATAAGAAGATTTGATTTGATTAGATTTTCATTGAAGAAAAGATTTATTTGAATATGCTTTGAAGAAAGATTTGGTTCAGATTTATCATATTCCATATTGTTTTGAATTTAATATACAAATTATTGATTAAAGATTTATCTTCCATGAAGATATCTTATAGGATTTGTTTTTAATTACAAGATTTGAATTTGTACTTAATGAGAAAATCTTCAATCTCTATTAAAGATGATTTAAATTGTGGTTCAGTTTTTGCAAGAGATTTATTCTAAATCATTTACTTGAGAAGTTGGAATTGTGATTTATATCAAGTAAATATTTTTATTTTATTTGTTCAAGATTCATAATTTTTTTACTGGACAAGTGTCAAGGCAAATGTTCCACGATCTGTGAGACATCTGTCTCAGACTTTTACTTGGTGAGAAACATAAATTGAAGTATATTTTGTCATTTTATGATTTGTTTTATTTTCTATTGTATAAGAGATATAAGTATGTGATCATGTGTTTGGATTTGGAAAAGATATATTCTTAGCACGATTTCTTTTAGTGTGCTTATTTGTTCATGATTTGTACTAATCAAGGATCTCAATCTTCCTAATAAAAATTTAAAAATTTGATTGATCATGTATGTTTTTAGAGGATGTGATCTGAATCAAATATAACAAGAATAATCAATAGATTCATATTTATTCAAGGTGGTCAATCAATATTGGAAATCATCATTATTCAAGATTGATCTCACGTGCTTTTTAGAAGTCTAACTGAGTTCATGACCTAAATCTTTATAGGCTTTTGGAGCTGGAATTTTGTGGCTATATAAGGATTTCATCTCCTTTGTGAAGACTCTGACCTTAAGGGAAAATATTTACTCATTAAAAGAATTTTTTTATTGGACTCTTTCTTTTTGTTTGTATTTTGTATACTCTATTCATGTGCTTCAAATCTAAATTAGCCGAATAAAGTATTGAGTTTTAAGGTTGTTATACCATCCATATTATTGTTGTAATTTTCCAAAAACTAGGAGAGTGTTTGAGTGAGAGTGAGAGGGGTCTCTTATTCAGGTGGAGCTTGAACGAATCTTCACGGGTAGTATTAGAAAAGTTGCATTGAACTGGGAGAGTTTGAGTGAGCCAAATTGTACTTCTCACTATTGGTAACCGAGTTCTTTCTATAGGGAGTCTTGAATAGAAATTCATGGCCAGTATTAGGACAATGACATTGCATTAGGAGAGTTTGGATCCAATTGTACTTCTGACTATTAAGAGTTAATTTTCTTTCATTTGGTTAACACCCTCCAGACGTAGGTGATTTTGCACCAAACCCTAGTTACCAATTCCCTCTGTTATTTATTTTTGTTATTATTTTGTTTGCTGCATAAGTACATTGTCATACACACTATGCTAGACATTGTATTTGACATATGTCCATTTGAAGAAAATTCCAGTCATTACTTGGGGAGGATGCCTATTATTTTTAGTTTCCCAGTGAGAAAAGTGAAATTGATCTTCATGGCTATGCCATTTTCCTGATCTTTCAGGATGACCTAGTATATTCTATTTGCTCCCTCTAGGTCAGCGCTGATGGTGGCCGGTTTTCCTTCTAAGTTTTGATATTTGAGCTTAAGGTGCACCAACGAGGAAAAAAACATACAGGATGGCTAAAAAGGGTTGTCTTAAGATGCAGTTGTAAATACTCCTTCAAGGAACAACAATAAATATATAATTTACCTCATCGATGTCCTTTCTGTCACCTACGAAAGCCATCAGCTCCATGTATCTCTAGGGATGAGTAGTGGTTCTGTTGAACGCTTGGAGATTAGAGTCTTATTATGGAAAAAATGCTTTGGTCTAGTCCTATTTTCTCACACAACTCCAAATACATATTTTCTCAGGAGTTGTCGCCATCAATGATGATCTGGGATACATCGAATTTCCCAACTATAGCAAAGATTACCAGGGGAAAATCTCATTGGGGACGCCTCAGAACTTCTACGAGTTGTGGAATCCCAGCATAGGTCGGCCAGGTACTTTTTCTGAAGTATTTCCTTCCTTGCAATGGACGGCCATCATTTCTGCAATCTTCCTCTTCATAGTGCCTTTGTAGAGGAAGTTTGCACGGGGTGCCTTTGCTTGCCTCCTTACTTTCTCCTCTTGTTTCAGCCCCTGTGGTCTTAGAGAAAGACTTACCTTTAGGTGACTCCTCTCTATCACGCTTCCCTATTCCCTTGACACACTCAGTT